CATTATTATGTGGCCTGCCTACAAACAGATTTTTGCATAACAAAAAAGAGACCAGTCTACAGCCTAATGAATGCACTCATTAACTGTAATAATGTTAGCTATAGCTTGAAAGGGACTTCAGAGAAAAAGAAATCAGCTCAACTGGTTCCAAGACCCTGCTGCATTTTCAACATAGAAAATAAATGGAACAGTTTGCAAAAGGGAGTCTATTTTTGTTGTACACCTGTGTCTCTTAGTATTTTGTCTAATATTAGAAATAGAGGTTTAGAATGTGTGCTGAATTTTCCAGGTGGTTTCCACAGGAATCCTGAAGCTACGTTTGCCAGCTCACTGGTATTAACTCACAACGTTTTACTGATCATAAGTTGTACAGAGCCAAGAACTGAAAACACTTTTTCAGTCTAGTGAATCACTTAATGGACCAACCACGAGACATCTCTGCAGCTTTCTATGCTCTAAAGAACTGGAATGTTAAAAGACAGGGCACAAGGTAACATGGGGAGGAGCTTCTGCAGGAACATCACCTCCAGCTGCTGTCCTGGATGTCCACCAGATTGCAGTTGTAGCTGGCTTAGCATTAGACCTCTCCCTGCTCCCTTCTCCCACCCAGGACTGGCAGCAGCCTAGAGCAGACAACTCCACCATCCTAGTTAGTTAGTTAGTTAATTAGTTAGTTAGTTAACTCCCAAAAAATCTTTATTTCTTGATAGATTCCTAATAATACCTGATAGATCTGGATAGTATATACCTGATAGCTTGATAGCTTATCAATGACAATCTTTTTTTTTTTAAAGTGAGCGGCTAACAAAAATATCTCCAATAGTCAAAAAAAATCATATTTGCAACTCACTGTTGCTTAATTTATTAGTACAATAAAACTAAAATGAGTCGATTGTCAAGTATTCACAAAATAGTGACTGAAAAGGGTTGCAGTAGTTTCAGGGACTGTCAATTTGCACAATGTACCTCTTTTTTCTGCGCCTCCTGTATTATCCAATTTAGCTCTTGCTAAATTTTTAAGCAGTCTATAGTTAATGATCTTCAAATCACAGGTTGTGTATTGTTTTCTATAATTCGATTCTCACAACAGCGAATTCCCAGGTCTGTCAGGATACTGCATGGAATGAAACAAAACCACAACAGGTATTGGCATTGTTCAGGAGTATTTAAATCTGAAGTTGTCCTTGAAGGATATTGTGTTACTGAATGGAAAAATAGTCAATTATAATATTTATTTAATCTCTTTATCAGCATACGATTTTCCAATTTGAAACTTTTTTAGTCCAGCTGTCCCTAAAAAGTGGCAGAATTTCCCTACTTCCTTGAAAGGCTTCTCAAGAATCTGAAAACTTTCACTAAAATCAATATTATAAACTCTATAACTGAGATTTAAGAAATGTCTTCAACAAGTATAAAAGACTTGAAAGACTTGTAATATTTAAAAATTAAATCTGTGTCTATTTACTGTGTAGGCATGTCAGTTTGTGCAAATCATTTTGTAGTTGTTCAAATATGATATCTTATTGTTGACTCATTGGCTTCGGAGTTTCATTTCCCATGACAAAGGTCATTTGGACTGTGGAAGTCTTACATATATGGTCAATATTATAGAACTGGTGCTACAGATATTCAAAACTGAGAAAGTGGCCTTAAACTGCCAGACCTGTGTTTACTTCAGACTGACAAAACGTCTAAATTAGGGAACGTAGAATTTCTTTTCTGCTTTAAAACCTCAAAGGATTATCTTAATTATACTGAGATAGTGTTATTTGGGGATTAGATGTAAAAACCTTACTTTCACCCAACAAAAGAGAGATAAAACAGTTTCATTTTCATGTAGAGTAATTTTGACCCAGTGTACACTCCTGCCTACCCTGACTGCATCATTGGAATTAGTTGTGTGTATAGCTTAACACATCACTTTTCCTAAATAAATTTCTCTTTGTTGTTGCTTCCCGTAGCAATTAAAAAAATACAATAATGAAAAAATAACTAAGGCAAAACATTACAAGAAGCTGGAGGAGCTGTGAAGGAGAGTTATTGCTTTAACTTTCTTTGAATTTTTTGTCTAACCTGCCGGGTTTTATGGAATCATCATTCCCAGACGTATGTCAAATCTCAACAACTACTAACGCATAGTGGATGTCAAGCAGTCAGATAGCCATCCCTTCACCAAGGCATTTATATCAGATGGATGCTTGTCTGTCTTGCTCTCTGACACCCCTAAGAGTCTTCACTTCAAGCTATTCTAGTTCCTCATTCTCTTTGCTGTGAGGAAATTTTCCTGGTGTCTGAGTCATTCTCTCTTCAGTTTAAGTCCTGAATGCTTACCTCAATATGAGAAACAGTTTGTGATCTTTTAGATGATGTTTTTGATGTACCTGAAGACAAATAGCACGTCTTCCCTATTATTGTGCTTGGTTCTTTAGGCTATAAATCTTCAGCTAAGTCAATCAAGCCTGTTTTCTAGATTGTCTTTCTTTTTGGTTCACCCTTCACCTCTGAAACTAACAAGTAGATTTTTAAATAGTCATTCTATCCTGTAGAACACTCCACTTTCACCAATTTTGGGATAGTAGTTTAACATTTGTTTTTCCACATTGCCCATCTGAGCCTTTGTTATCTCTACATTGTTGTCTGTACAATACGCACTTTGAGTAGGTTTTATAGAATATTGCTAAACACCTTTTGCGCAAGAAGATAAGCTGAAATACTTATTTGAATGAAAAGCAGCTCTGTTGAATTAAGATCTCCTGCAGAAAAGTTGAGAAGGAGGGTTATGTAATTGTCATTAAAAAGTTGTCATTTCCATAATTTTTTAGTAATTTAAAGCTATAAAATGTTATCTCTGTTGCAAATCTTCTTAGAGGGATAGCTAATCATAAAGTAATTCTGTAAATTTTATAGCACCCTGCTGGAGTAGATCTACAAATCTACTCCTTTGAAAATGATAAAGAAATTAATTACAAGAAAACAGGCTTTTTCTAGTTTGTTTCTGGTTTTTTTGGCTTTTGGTGTTTTTTTGTTTGTTTGGTTGGTTTGGTTTTTTTTTTTTTTTAATGAGAAAACTCGTAAAGCTGCGATACTGACAGCATGGCTTTAATTCTTTCAAATTCTACCCAGTTTAAAAAAAAACCCACACTACAAAGCCTATTACTTCCTGCATTCAAAAACTTGTCAGGTTTCATGAGGGTGGATAAAACTGCTTTAAAAACTTGCCAATGAACAAGATGAATCTTTTAAAGGAAAGGTTAAATCAGTCATAAATTTAAAACACCTTCTGTGGCTTTTATCACAAAACAACCCACAATGGGTTTTAACTCTGTCCAGTAAACATTCCTGGTGGAAGTGGGGGCTGTTTGTCTTCCTGAGCCTCTTGAGTGCAGTTGGGAACATTAACACCTATGTTAATCCCTAAGCTAGAAGGTAAATTTTCCAAGTGTTATACTTAAACTGAACAGCAATGCTCATCTTTCTCCTTTTGTGAATGCATATTTTACTCTTCTGTGCTGAACAAACAAGTTTGAAATCTGAAGCATGTTTAATGGTCCTTTCATTTTGATTCCAGACACGGGATATGTTTTCCCCCCTTGGTGAAGCTGCTATTTACTGACATTGCAGCTGTGCTAGGAAGACATAGTCAAGAGTCCAAGCTCTGCTGAAACAGTGACTTATGCAGGAGCCACTCTCTGAGGGTGTGTTTGCTCTGTGAGGACAGCTGAATGCGCAGCATAAGGAAGGCAGTGGGGACCAGGTGTCTGCAGCAGGATTTCTGCCTGCTCTGCAAAACACAAGAAAAGTTTAAGACAGGCAGTGAATGATCAAAAGAGAGCAACAGATCCACACACATAAGGTCACCTACATCACTTAAAGCATGACTAACTTACAGAAGGGCTAGCTTTAAAAAAATCGTGAAGATTTAAAATAAGACAAGTTGAGCTTATTTTTCATCCTTCAATTACTCAACTTTTAGGATTTAAAGGTACTCTCTACAGTCAACATCAGTTACTTTTTAGAGGAGGGAAAAATGTAAATCTGGGATTTTTTTCCAAGACTCAGAGTTTTGAAAAACTTAAATATCATGTTCATAATAAAAGAGAAGTAATCTGAAATGTTCTAATGAGATATGTACATTTTTAGGATTGAGTAAAACTTCGTAAATGGCAGTACTTCCAGGAAAATCCATTGTGAAAATGGGGAGAGGGAAATTACCCTGAACATTTGTGACATTTTATTTGAGTGGAGTTTTCAGTTGCTTCTGTCTCCTTGTGGTTTGAGTGTTGCAAGCTGAAAAGGTTAACAGCAAGGGATTAAAATTCCGTGTGCAGTACAGTATCACACAACTCCATAAAGCTCCAGACACAAGCAACAAAGAAATAGGAGCAACACCTGGATCTGCAAAATGCTCTGCCCAGCTTCATTAGCCATGTCTGCAGAGAGGATTAATTGCTTCAGATGCAATGCCATGTTGTCTCTGTGCTGGTCTTTCTGTTTGAGCAGTGCCAGCCCATTCGAGACTTGCTTCTGGCTCCCTGTGCTGTGCTCCATCAAGAGGTAGGGACATGGTCTGCTGCACCGTCCTGCCCTTTGCACAGTGAGAGGACCTGTCCTCAAAGTCGCATCCTTGCAGGTGAGAGTGGTATCAACCCAGTGTCAGGGAAACGCTGAACCCAAGGTTTTCTCCCCTCAATGAGGTTAATTGATGCAGAGATGCACTTATACACAGCAGATTTCAGGATCTGTGATTTTTAACATTGTTTCAATTACCCTATGTGGAGGATGTGGAATAGATAATTTAAGTAGAAGGTGCTGATGTCAAGCAAATGTAAGTAAAACACTGAATTCTTCTTCTAGAAGAATTACAGGTGCTTTACAAGAGTCCACTCGGAACCACAACTGCCAGTGTGTGTGCTCTTAGGCTCTGATCCTCAATGTTAAGGAAGCTCTTTTCTTATTCCTTTGAAAGGTCAATGTTGTGTCCCTTTCCTTTATCCCTGTAGTGACGGCTGGGCTGACAGGTATGATGTGACAGAAGGGTACCAGAACGAAGCTGTTGGTGGAATAACAATCAAGCTGCAGTCCCCAGACGTGAAGTGGTTTGATGACTACTACCTAGAGCTCCGGCCAGAAACCAACCATCGGAATCCATGGTTTCAGGAGTTTTGGCAGCACAGGTTCCAGTGCCGCTTGAAGGGGTTTCCCCAAGAGAACCCTAAATACAACAAGACCTGCACAAGTAAGTGAATTTATTACTTCTGCTGAGTGAAACAATGTGAATGAAGGTCTGGTCTGATGCAGAATGGTCTGGTGAAGTAGTGAGTTGGATTGGAAGGAAAAGAAGCTGTAATTGCAATGCTTGTGGTTCTCAAAATTATAAAAAAGCACAATTTTTAGTGTTCAGATTTCTAAAGAAACAGACACAGCTTCAGTACCTAACTGATCTCTGTATTTGAAAAACTTGATGCTACTCCACCTCCATAGGCATGTAAACACTTTCAAAAATGCTGCAACACAAAATTAAATTTACCTTTTCAGAAAAAAAGCTGATCATATTGCTTTGGCTCACAAAGGCCAAAGAGAGAGATAATATACTAAAAGTTATCTGAAGCCTTTATGGCAGTGATCAGTATTTATGAACTTCATATAAAACACCAGGTGATTTGAAAGATGTCATTAGGTTTTCTTTCAGCCATGGGTCATTTCTGGATATGCCATTTTGAGCTGATTATTTTCATTCCATTGTACTAATTTTAGCAAAAACTCCCACATTTTGTCATTTCTCTGCTACTGATAGACGTGGTACCTACAAAATCTGGAGTTTTGTAGGTTTTTTTTTAAATTTATTACTTCTGTTAATTGCTCTTTATTTCATGAGATGCCAAGCAGTTTTAATGTTGTCTAGGCTGTGAACTGGCATCCATGTCTTGCATTCCAAAGGGTATGAGGACCTGTGGCACCAGTCAAATGGCAAGAGACAGAGCAGGAGCCAATGGCTCAGTGCCTCAGCGAGAAGACCCCAGACTACCTGGAAAGGGTCCTTTCTTTGGGTTCAGAGTCCTTCCTCTGAGGCTAGGAGGACTGTTTCACAAGCCCCTTCTCCTTCTCTGTAACTCTCTGGGCAAATTTTTCACTATTTCTGACCCTTGAGATATCATTAATACCATTGTATGAATATTCTGGCAGTGTTGGGGATAATGTGGGGCTGTGCTGGGCATTAGTCCAACCACAGCTCTAAACCCCAAGGGTTCTTCCCTCCTAAAAATGTGAATCTCTTCCACACACCCGTGAGACCAAGAAATATCTTAAAGGATCAGAGTCTTGGATTTACACAACACAAACCCCTAACTAAATCCCACTTAATGATCTTAATGTTTTTCTTTTGATTTGGACAAGGTCTCACAGGAAGTTTGTGAGTGAGAAATAAATTGAATCTAGGAATCCCAAAATCTCAGCATACACCTTCCACACTCTACTCACTTTTCCCCATTATTTTTGTTCTGTCACCCTTCCAACACAGTTTAAGACAGGTTTTATTTGCACTATTGACAGCTACTGCATATTGAGCAGCAAACTTCATTGATTTCCCCATGATAATATAGACCTGAGATGTCAATACAGTGGGCATAGCTGAATGCAGGCTAATAAAGACCTGGTTTCCATCAGTGTGCCATGTAAAAAACATTTCAATTTGACTTTTGTTGGTTTCTTTTTTAACTTGCCTTTTACCAACAATGTGAGAATCTAATTTATGTTTTATGTGAAAGATTAGGAACTATGAAATGTAAGTGCCTAAAGAGTCTTTCATAGCACCTAAAATAAAATTCACCACCACAGAAAAATTATCATGGATGTGCAGGGAGATGTTATTTTATACACTAATTCACGAGACATGAATATTAGACAATCATTAAGCTTGATTTGCTTGGTGTGAACAGTATCATGTCTGGAAGCTTTCCCACACAGAACCACAGCTCAAAATATTCCTAAAACCCAGGAATTTCAAAGACACAGAAAAAGGTGCAAAAATCCAAATCTTCTGATTTACAAATCATGACTAGGGAAGAAGGCTTTTTTCCAAATAGATAGCTCTAATTTCCTCTTCTTCAGTTTTATTGTAGTATTCAGGGCTGGACCATGATGCATACAGTAAAATAATTAAAACCAGATTATAAAAGCTTTAATTCTCTCTTGCTGCTGTAGGGCAAAAATGTTAATTGTAGTTGTAGAATTTCCTGTGGATTAACCAGCAAGAAAGATATAAATGTATTCACTGAGAATGCAAGAGGGAGACTTTTGATGCTGTGACTTTAAGATCAAAATTACCATGAATATTTGAAACTGGCATGGTAGTTGTTGTTTCTGCCTCGTTTCCTATCACCCATAAGAATTTGAAAATTACATCTTTTCAATTCCTATATTACTATTTATTTATTTTGAACAGTCAAAGTTGTGAGTCCTAAATTCCATCAGTTCAGACTTCACAATGGTAAAGATGAATCTTGCCCTCAGTGGTCATAAATGTTTCGCAGGCTGTCCTAAGAGTTTCTGCATGATGAGGAATTAGTTTGGTTCTGATTTCACCTGGCAAGAAAACAGGACTATATCCTTTATTTTATTTCATTAAATACATGGTGTTCTCCAGAAGCTGCATCAAAAAAAAATATTAAAAACCCCAAACACACTAAAAAATTAAGTTACAGGTGTTTTTTAGGATTACAATTAATGAGATTAAGTTTATTGAGAAGTGCTGGAGAGAAATCAAAACCTATTTTTTTACATCAAAAGTCAAGCAATTCTTTATTTCTTGGAATAAAGATAAAATGATAAACAGAGAACTGATGTTAATAGACAAGGTCATTATTAAATGAATGTGTCTATATAAAAGGCAGCATTATATTAGTGGGAAATAAAATTAATTGTTCTCTGTAATCCAGTTGTGTTGTCAGAAAAACATAAAGAATGGTTAACAGTACAGTCAAGTTTATTCAATAAGAAAATAAACACAGGAAGATATGGCTGAAATCTAAGTAATAACTGACTTCGCCTATGCACCGGCTATGAATTTAGCTGTTCAAATCTCTTCATTTGCTTTGATGAATCCTGCCTAGTAGAATATTAAGCTACATTTATCCCTGTGACAGAAAATACATAAAGCTATAAACCATTCTAATCATCTCCAGTGACTTGCAAGTATTTTTCTCACTTTTTAACATAAACATGAAATATGAACATATTCATAGACAGTTTCAGGACAGGTATTATTATTTATGAATATGAGGTTCAGTATGATATGTATAACCAAATTACAAAATCAGCCAAACAAAGAAAATCCAAAAAAGAATAAAGATTTTTTTCTCCATGAATTTCTATTAAGGACTAAAAGGTTTCCATTCCTTCACATAGACTTAGTTCATACTGAGATGAAAATTTCAGCATCCAGCTCATTTTTCATTTGCAGATTAGAATATACTTGCTTAATCCAAATGGGTGCCACTGCTGTCGCTGCTAAGAACATTGATTTTCTGCCCAGCTGGAGCACTACAGAAAGTGAGAAGTTCACAGACTTATCTGACTTTATTTTTGGTGTAATCAGTTCCATGGCACAGGAGAGCTGCTACAAGCCACCTCTGAAGAACAAGAGTCAGAACAAAGAATTTAAAGTGCATGTGTAAAAGGAGACATTTAATGGCCTCCAAACACCAGGGATTTTACAAGACTTGGGGTTGGTTTCACCTCTAGCAGTAGTCAGAGGTTTTCTTAATATCTAAGACTATAATTCAAAGAAGTTCATAAATAGGTCTGCAAGCTGATCCAGATGGGTAACTCCACTCAATGACCAGCTTCACGTCTCAAAAGGCTAATCTAATCCCTTGGTATTGATTGCCTTTAGACCTCTGAAGATGAGATGTTTATGCGACTGCTTTCTTTCAGAAAGAGTTCCCACTAAATCTCTAATTCCTAGTACATTTTCATCCTGGTGAGGGTGTTTTAAAAAATGCATCTTTACTCCAAGCAGAAGCAAAACCCAACATAAGTTAATTATGTGGTGAAGCCCTGGCTCAATGGACAGTGCTGGAAAAAGACAAGTCCTCAAAGCCACCAGGAGCAGAAGCATATTTATTACATTTACCAGTCTGTTAAATTATTTATTTTGCCTGCACTGTTAAGTGATATTATTTTTCCCATGTTGTGCAAAAGCTGGAGGCACGGATGGAACAGCATTATTAATGGTGATACTGAAACACAGAGCAATACCAGAATACACATCCCAAGTACCTGTGATCTAAGTCATAGACATTAAAGAGTAAATAAATAGAGGCTGATGCTGCTGAAGCAGTGCAGTATCTTACTTTGACTGGCAGAGGCTACAGACTTAAGAAAAAAATAGCAGTTTCATGTAAAGGAATAGTGGGAACAAGAATCTGGAGGGAGGTGATGGGTCACTTGTGTAGGTACTTACAGCAGGGTCCTGATGTTAAATACTGCAGTTCAAAGAAGTGAAGTGAAAACAAAGGGAAATTTTGGGGTCTGGGTCATCACAGACAGAGGTCAGCCAAAAACAAGACATGGAGGGCACTGAAAGTGAGCAAAGCAGCTTATGTCTGCCATGGCTGGGAGCAAGGACCCAGTGACAGGGTTTATAGGGAAGAAGAACACACAGTGATGTACAGGTGTCCTGGTTACAGCTCCAGGGAAAGGAGATTTGCAGCAGCATTCTGAGTGCATCTTAGAAGGCTGCAAAAATCCCAAATTTAATTCATTATTTAACCATGTGGCTTCTCTGAGTTAAAGGTGCTTTTTCTGAGGGTGTAAAAAATTCTCATAAAAGAAGGATGACCAATGCATCTCCAAGCAATTTAGAAGAGGATTAAGAATGAATGAGCTTGTTTGCAGAAAGGGTGATTAGGGAAATTTGAGATAAATACAAGAAAAGTTTTTCTGCTAAAGGTACAAATTTGCACATAAAATTAAAGTGCAAAAAATACCTACCTGTTTGCTGAATCTCATCCAGTTCCAGCTATTTTTAATGAGTACAGAAGGACACACAGAAAGCCCACGGTTTCAGATGAACAGAAATTTGGTTTAAAAGATGTCCCTTTTGGGTTTCTAGATAGAATGAAGGAATAAAACATGACTGCCTAGTCTTTTGCACTGCAACATGCAAATCTGTTGATTAAATGTAGGCTCTGATGCCAAAATTAGTTTAATCAGGACTCAGCCAACAAAACATAAGTG